GACAAGGGGTGGCGGTCTGTGTATATTTGTAAACAACAGCTGGTGCACAAAACCAAACACTAAGGAAGTCTCGAGGTTTTGCTCGCCTGAGGTAGAGTATCTTATGAAAAGCTGTAGACCACACTATTTACCAAGAGAGTTTTCATCTATATTTTTCATAGCTGTCTATTTACCACCACAAACCAATGCTGGCATTAAGATTGCACTGAATGAGTTGTACAAGGCCATTAATCAACAGGAAAACGCTCATCCAGATGCAGCGCTCCTAGTGGCCGGGGACTTTAATGCAGGGAAACTTAAATCCGTTCTACCTAATTTCTACCAGCATGTTAAATGTGCAACCAGAGGGAAAAAAACTCTAGACCACCTTTACTCCACACACAGAGACGCATACAAAGCTCTCCCTCACCCTCCATTTGGCAAATCTGACCATAACTCTATCCTCCTGAATCCTGCTTATAAGCAAAAACTAAATCAGGAAGCACCAGTGACTCGGTTAATAAAAAAGTGGTCAGATGATGCAGATGCTAAGCTACAGGACTGTTTTGCTAGCACAGACTGGAACATGTTCCGGGATTCTTCAGACAGCATTGAGGAGTACACCACATCAGTCACTGGCTTCATCAATAAGTGCATCGATGATGTCGTCCCCACAGTGACCGTACGTACATACCCCAACCAGAAGCCATGGATTACAGGAAACATCCCACTGAGCTAAAGGGTAGAGCTGCCGCTTTCAAGGAACGGGACTCTAACCCGGACGCTTATAAGAAATCCCGCTGTGACCTCCGACGAACCATCAAACAGGCAAAGAGTCAATACAGGTCTAAGATTGAATCGTACTACACTGGCTCTGACGCTCGTCGGATGTGGCAGGGCTTGAAAACTATTACAGACTACAAAGGGAAGCACAGCCGCGAGCTGCCCAGTGACACAAGCCTACCAGACGAGCTAAACCACTTCTATGCTCGCTTCGAGGCAAGCAACAGCTGTTCCGGATGACTATGTGATCACGCTCTCCGTAGCCGATGTGAGTAAGACTTTTAAGCAGGTCAACATTCACAAGGCCGCAGGGCCAGACGGATTACCAGGACGTGTACTCCGAGCATGTGCTGACCAACTGGCAAGTGTCTTCACTGAGATTTTCAACATGTCCCTGACTGAGTCTGTAATACCAACATGTTTCAAGCAGACCACCATAGTCCCCGTGCCCAAGGACTCTAAGATAACCTGCCTAAATGACTACCGACCCGTAGCACTGACGTCTGTAGCCATGAAGTGCTTTGAAAGGCTGGTCATGGCTCACATCAACAGCATTATCCCAGAAACCCTAGACCCACTCCAATTTGCATACCGCCCCAACAGAACCACAGATGATGCAATCTCTATTGCACTCCACACTGCCCTTTCCCACCTGGACAAGAGGAACACCTACGTGAGAATGCTATTCATTGACTACAGCTCAGCATTCAACACCATAGTGCCCTCTAAGCTCATCACTAAGCTAAGGATCCTGGGACTAAACACCTCCCTCTGCAACTGGATCCTGGACTTCCTGACGGGCCGCCCCCAGGTGGTAAGGGTAGGTAACAACACATCTGCCACACTGATCCTCAACACGGGGGCCCCTCAGGGGTGCGTGCTCAGTCCCCTCCTGTACTCTCTGTTCACCCATGACTGCATGGCCAGGCACGACTCCAACACCATCATTAAGTTTGCCGACGACACAACAGTGGTAGGCCTGATCACCAACAACGATGAGACAGCCTATAGGGAGGAGGTCAGAGATCTGGCCGTGTGGTGCCAGGACAACAACCTCTCCCTCAACGTGACCAAGACAAAGGAGATGATTGTGGACTACAGGAAAAAAAAGAGGACTGAGCACGCCCCCATTCTCATCGACGGGGCTGTAGTGGAACAGGTTGAGAGCTTCAAGTTCCTTGGTGTCCACATCACCAACGAACTATCATGGTCCACACACCAAGACAGTCGTGAAGAGGGCACGACAAAGCCTATTCTCCCTCAGGAGACTAAAAAGATTTGGCATGGGTCCTCAGATCCTCAAAAAATTATACAGCTGCACCATCGAGAGCATCCTGACTGGTTGCATCACCGCCTGGTATGGCAACTGCTTGGCCTCCGACCGCAAGGCACTACAGAGGGTAGTGCGTACGGCCCAGTACATCACTGGGGCAAAGCTTCCTGCCATCCAGGACCTCTATACCAGGCGGTGTCAGAGGAAGGCCCTCAAAATTGTCAAAGACTCCATCCACCCTAGTCATAGACTGTTCTCTCTGCTACTGCACGGCAAGCGGTACCGGAGTGCCAAGTCTAGGTCCAAAAGACTTCTCAACAGCTTCTACCCCCAAGCCATAAGACTCCTGAACAGCTAATCATGGCTACCCGGACTATTTGCACTGCCCCCCCACCCCATCCTTTTTACGCTGCTGCTACTCTGTTAAGTATTTATGCATAGTCACTTTAACTCTACCCACATGTACATATTACCTCAACTACCTCAACTAGCCGGTGCCCCCGCACATTGACTCTGCAACGGTACCCCCCTGTATAAATAGCCTCCCTACTGTCACTTTATTTTACTTCTGCTCTTTTTTTCTCAACACTTTTTTTGTTGTTGTTGTTTTTTTTTGTTTTTTTTTTGTTTAAAATAAATGCACTGTTGGTTAAGGGCTGTAAGTAAGCATTTCACTGTAATGTCTGCACCTGTTGTATTCGGCGCATGTGACCAATACAATTTGATTTGATTTGATTTGAACAACTCAGGTTTCAGAATGTCTTGGTCAGTGTATTCACTGGTCCAGAATGAGCAGGTAGAGGAATTTCTCTGTCAGCTTGGCTGCGGACGTTTTAACCGTGGTTTCTGATTTCTGAACAGGAGTGAGGATTCCAACACAGTATAAACATTCTACTTATTCAACACAGTGCATGCATATAATATATAGAATATACTGGATAAATGTATTGGGTATATATTGGATTAGAATAATTGAGAATATATATAGGTTGAAATGTTGGTCTTCAAAACTATAGAACCAAGGACTACTTATTTTATTCAACACACAACACTACCCTTATACACTTTGGCTCTTTCTCAGTCGTCTAAAAATCGTTCCTCTCCTTCACTGATCTGCCAATCAGTGCAGATTCAGGGGAGGAGACAAGGAGAGAAGGGATTTTTAAGCAATTGGTCTGTTTACATTTCCAATGGTCAATTCTGTTTTTTTATTAACAGGGGCTGAACGTATCAAGCGTCTCAGAGCAAGAGCGCTAACAAAGGATGTGTAAAGCCTTTTAGATTACATTGAATAAGAATAAGACTACGTGGATAGGGTTTGCCTGGTCCTAGATCAGCACTTCACTCTTAGATACTTGATACACACATTGTGTGCCTTTATTTGTCTCCAGCTGATTAAAATGGTATACAACAGATTCCAAGTGAACCAAATAATGATTTTCAATCAAATAATGTTTTGTTAATTGTATTCATCATTTGCATTATTTCACAATATGTCTGTAAACTATGTGTTCAGTGCAGAAAAAAATATAACAATATCAACTATTGGCTGAAAAGTAATTCCCTCAATCTCACATTATTATCACCATACTTGTTGTCATGAACTACAAAAATGTAATCATCAATAGCAAAAATGTAATCATCTTTAACAACAAAAATGCAATTATCATCAACAAGAAGAAAATCATCATCATCAACAACAAACATAAAATCATCATAAAATCATTATTATCAACATCATTAAAAATTAAATCATCATTGAATAGATTGACGCTGGGAAATACCTTCAAAACTGGCCACGTCATTGAACAAATCACTATTAAGGTGTGGTCCAATAAAAACATTTTTAATCTACTTAGTAAGTAATCATTTTTTATTAAGTAAATTGTTGAAAGTATAATCAATGTGAAACAAGAAATGCATTTTGTTCACAATTAAAATAAAAACAAAAAACAACTGTTTCCCACTGAACCATGCAGTCCCTTTAAATCATTAAACTGTGATTAAGGCATATGAAGCCATAGGTTAGATGGTAATTAAATGACAGAAATATAATTTTTATAATTGAAACTAAATTAACAATGTCAGACTAGCTCCTTATTTAACTGTGTATTGTGTTTATTTATGGACATTATCAAGTAAAACACTCTGAATCTGTTGGTTAACCAGTTGCTGTTCACATTTACTTTTCTTATTTGTAGGATTTCTGAATTTGCTTAAAGCGCTTTGCTTACATCTACATCTGATGAGAAAATGTTATTCCTTTCACATCAAATTCAAAGTGTTAGCTTTGTATTTCATTATAGAATATCAGATCTGTAAATTGCTAAGACTTCAAATAGTTTATGAAGGCATATAGAATAAAATAGGTTTTTCCAAGCTGCATGTGTTCTTTTTCAAAATTGCATTGGGTATTGCCAGATCTGCACATTATTTCAAAACTTTATTGAGACAACTGGCTCTACATATGTTGATTCTGTGATATGTAATTCCTGGTTGTTAAGTCTATGAAAAGTCAATCATGTTTTTGGTCAACAAGTCATTATATAGTACTTCATTTAATGTTGAATGACATTTTTAAGCTTCTCATTGCATCCTCAAATGTTAACGCCTTCCAGTCCTCTGGGATATCAGCAGGAAGTGCGTTTACTTCTTTAGCGATTCTCTCATGGAATGTGGCCATCACATACTTCCAGTAGTCTGACGCCTCCACGGTGGCATCACCAGTTATGGTCCAATCAGGGTAATATGTCTGGTAGTCCTTGTAGGGGTGAAACTTTTCTCCAATCACAGCATTGGAGAATGTTGCTTTGCAACTAACCACAAGAGATGAACATATCTCAATTACTAATTTCTGTGAATGAGTATGCCTATAACCACAGATACCTTGTGAACAGTGAATGGAGGAATGGTGTTTGTTGTGCTCCATCCCCCCTGCTTCACAAGGTACACCAAAGAAGGGACATTACTTCCCACAGCCAAACAGACTGGTGAACATCTCGTCGTGAGGCTTGAATGGAAGAGATATGAGTCTCTCTTTGATGTTACCTCTCTTTTTGTACTCAGCTGCCAGTGACTGCTCCATTTCTCTCACAAACTCTGTGAGGTAGACAGCAAACTGTTCTGTATCTGCAGTGTTCAGAATCAAGATGGAATCCAGAGCATCCTTGAGGACCAGCTTCTCTTCAAGGGCGCTGCAGATGTTTTGAATGAATGTCTTGACATCATTTAAATTGTTTATGCCAGCAGTTTCACTGATGTTAGAGATTGTGTAAGTGATCATCTTGACCATCTCTGAAAGATGTTTCTTCTCCAATTTCTCCAGACCGCGGTCCTTTGACTGTTGTTGGACAATCTGGTCAAACAGCCAGTCCTTCACAAACCTTTCATAATGACTAATGTACTCTTTATATTTCTCATATTTTCCATCTGTCAGGAGTTGTTTCAAAATGGTGAACTGGAAAGCCCCTCTTGTGCTGTAATCCTCTGACCCTTTACCAATCTTCACTTCATCAACCACATCAGGACCAATCATTTTGGTCACATAGTCCTGTACAGCTGGCTGCAAACAGAGCTTTGTGAAGTCCTCAGCTTTCTTTTGGCAGTGGTCTCGGTTATGAAATACGTCTCTGAACTCAGTAAGGTACTTGTTCTTAGACTTTTCCAGACACTTCTTTGGGTCATTGACTTCAATGAAATCATCATGCATCTTCTGAAACTCTCTGGCTGCTCTGCCACAGATGTGTAGCTTCAGAGAAACTTCACATTCCTCACTGACTTTAACATTCTTGTGGCGTTGCAATGTTTCATCAATCCTGTTCAGCAGGTCTTTGATGTAAGTGTCATGATAATCTGATTTTCCTTTAACCTTTTCTTTTATAAACTCCTGACACTGTGTTATGATGTCATCACAGAAGTATTGTAGGTTTTTCCTGTGATGGTCGTGAGCCCAGTGCTTTACTATGTTTTTAGTTTGCTGCCACCAACTCTCTGATTCCACAACAAAGGCTTTTATCCCACAATCCACCAGTCTGGTTCCAACCAACAGACTGTTGACATGACTGCTCCTTGTTTCCAGATTTGCCCTCAACATGAGAAAGGCATCTTGGGCAACATCTCGCTTAGTAAGTCCTTTGAAGTGTATGTCAGAAAGAGTTTTTCTCCACATGATTTCAAACTCTTTACTGAGTGCCTTATCTGAGAGATTTGATTTTTTCTGTCTACAATTCTGAAGCAAATCTAGTACCTTTTTCTCAATTGTACTTGCCTGAGAGCTCTTGATGTTGTTCAGTTCTGTCATTCCCTCTTTGATTTCAACAGCTCCTTGCAGTTTGTTCTTCACAGTGTTTTCTGTCTCTCGTCTCAGTGTTTTGGCACTGGACACAAAGTCCTCCCTGTATTTTTCCACAAGATTGACATGGCCATCTTCTTTTTCAAACTATTTTACTAGATTGTCTTGGATGTCCTTTTCTCCCAATGTCAGTTTCTCAGATGCTTCTAACATGAAGTCTTTTAGCACATCTCTTATGGACATCTGGAAATATTGATTTGTCATGCCAATATTGGACATTTTAGTTTCAGCACCCACCATCCATTTATACATCTCTTTCTGGAAGGCCCATTCCCAACCATTGTACTCTGAGCATAATCTGGAGTATGCTTCTGCAACCAATCTGTTTCTGAAACTAAAGATGAATTTCTCAAATTTCACAGACTCCCACAAGCTTTGTGTCCACTTCAGGAAATGTGTTAAATCATCATTTCTCTGACAGGTTCTGAAATCTTTCATCAAGGTCTTCTTGAAGTCATACACCGCCTCACTGTATCCAGCATTGACTGGAGCCATAGGGGGAGTCCCATGCCAGAGTCCTGGGATATAGCAGCTGCTTGTGTCTGGATCATACTCCATCACGTCAGTGAACCTGGTGATATTCTCCTTCTCCATTCTGGCTGCTGCCAGGGTCATTTCATTCAACTGTTCCAACAACTTCTTCCTGTCCCTCATGTTGTTGTCATGAGCAGACATGTCTGACACATTCTGGTGCACAAAATGACATACTGGCTTCTTCCCCACTTCCTTCATCCTGATAAAAGCATGAAAAACAATCTGTAGAACATCCTTCATCTCTGTGGAGTTCTCCATGGCAATGTTGATAATTGTAACATCACTGAGTCCTATTACTAGTGTCGCCAATTCATTGTCATGTTCATGGCTATCATCAAGTTGAGCCAGCTCTGGTGATTTCAACCGCTCTGTGTCGATGACCATGATGAAGTCACATTTCAGCTCCTCCTTGAGTTCTTTGTTGACTTTAATCAGTAGCATGAAGGCCCCTCTGGTGCATCTTCCACTGCTGACAGCATACTGGACCCCAAACATGGTGTTTGGGAGAGTGGACTTCCCAGTGCTTTGGACCCCTAAAACTGTGACCACCCGGATCTTGCTGTTGGATTGGACAATAGTATGAAGCTGAGTCAGTACAGCTGATATCCATTTCAGAGGGATATTTGATGCATCTCCATCCACAAGCTCAATGGGGAAACCGTCCAACAGCATCTGAGCACACAATCCAGGGAGATGCTCCATCTGTTTCCTTTGTAGACTACTTTCGGGGAGGGAGCAGGAAGCTTCATATAACTGGCCCAACTCACGCAGGAAGTGTTCAAGACCTAAGGAACAGTCAGATAATTGCTTATCCAAATCTTTAATGTTGTCTTTTTTCTCAGGATAATTTTGGCAAAGATCTTTGTACTGGTCCCTTAAACCAGACAAGTTCTGCCGTGACAGATTGTCCAGATTTATCCGCATCCATTTGAGGAAAATAGAATCGCTCAGCTCCTGAACTTGACAATCCTAAAATGAAGCTTGCCATTGCATCTGATATGTCACGTTTATGTTGCTTCTTTCTCAACTCTTCCTCCTTTTTATTCAGAGAGCTCTTGTAGTGTTCAATGTCTTGATCCCCTACTTTTCTCAGCCTATATCTCTCTTTTTCCAACTGGGAAAGCTCTTTCCAAATTTGCCCTTGTATGGGTAGCTGTTTGTCTTTGAATTCCATTGTGTCTTTGAAGTTCCTTGTGATTTCATCTGCCATCTTCCTGGCACTCTGACACGCATCACTGTCTTCATCAACCAGAATCCCAAACTGATGAGCCACGTCAGCCATGTTTTCAATTGTCAATCGGTTTTTACTTTTTTCTAAGATGTCACTCACAGATGACTGCAAGGTTTTGACAAATTCTGCATCATTTAGCTTCTTCTTGAGAATCACATTTCTTTCATTGATCCTGCAGTTTGTGATGATTTTTTTCAATGTGTCTGCACTGAATGTTTTTCTCTGAGAGTTGACAACCAGAAATAACTCTGCCTTTGGTTTTTGGGTTTTCAACAACTTGAGATCTGCCTCTAAATCATCACTGAAAATAAACACTGCTGCTGATGTTTGACACAGAAATGAAAACTGCATTTCAAGGGACCTGATATCTCCTCTGAGATTGGCAACAGCCACAGGTTTAGTGAACATGTCTATGTTTCTGTTCCCACATGGAAAGTACCAGCTGATTTCAACTAGACCATCTGATATTCTGCGAGGAACATCGCCACATTCCATATGATGATGAACAAATGTGTCATGGTACTGTTGAGGGTTACTAAGCAACTTATTCAAGATCTGAGACTTGGACACTCTAATCTCCCCTAACCTAACAAAGGATACCATAGGAATATCAGAGAGTACAATTCTGTCCTCCACAAAATACTTTATGGCTGTTTGTGAAGACGATCTGAACTTTTTCACTATGTCTCTCAGGGCCCACAGCATCAACGTGATTTGTTTTGTGTCACAGTTTGGCAGCAGGAGAGGAACAGCAAACTGACACATGGACATTTTCTGGACCATCTCCTGCTGCAGGAAACTGTCTGAGCACAGAAACAGTGCTGTAATCAGGTCTATAGGGTTGATAACATTGCTGCTATCAAAGTCAGTGCCCTGGTTGTCTACACCATAAAATGGAACCTCCTGGCCAGTGATCAGACATTTGACACTCCTAGCATTTACATTTGCCATCATTCATTTCTTAAGGAAGGCCCCTGGAAGTGACTGCATAGTCTTAAGTGGTTCATCTGATGTAGTATTAGCATTTATCTCAAGGACAGTACTTAACGTCAGCTTGTTTTCATAATGATCTTCTAGTCCAGTCTTTGACAACAGCTCCACGAGACAGGATTCTGTAAGTAGAAAGGAAGATCAGGAAATAGGAAAGATTCAGGGAAATTTCATACTGTACATTTACATCTCATGGTGACAGGCGGTGTCAGAAGAAGGCCCTCAAAATTGTCAAAGACTCCAGCCACCCTAGTCATAGACTGTTCTCTCTGCTACCGCACGGCAAGCGGTACCGGAGTGCCAAGTCTAGGTCCAAAAGACTTCTCAACAGCTTCTACCCCCAAGCCATAAGACTCCTGAACAGCTAATCATGGCTACCCGGACTATTTGCACTGCCCCCCCACCCCATCCTTTTACGCTGCTGCTACTCTGTTAATTATTTATGCATTGTCACTTTAACTCTACCCACATGTACATATTACTTCAACTACCTCAACTAGCCGGTGCCCCCGCACATTGACTCTGCACCGGTACCCCCCTGTATATATAGCCTCCCTACTGTTATTTTATTTTACTTCTGCTCTTTTTTTCTCAACACTTTTTTTGTTGTTGTTTTATTTTTAAATGCACTGTTGGTTAAGGGCTGTAAGTAAGCATTTCACTGTAATGTCTGCACCTGTTGTATTCGGCGCATGTGGCCAATAAAATTTGATTAGATTTGATTTGATTTGACACATACAGTATGATTAGTTCCTTTACATTAGAGTCATTTTAATAACTAGTCAAAGTTTAATAAAGTTCAATAATATATTAATGTTCTAGACACGTTTCAGGGGAATATTGCAAGAACATTTGTGTGTATAAGTTGTTAGGACGTCGTCTGATTTAACCAAATAAACGTACTCCCCCCCCCTAAATGTTTCATTACACATCACACCTTGTTACTATTGCTGAGCCAATAAAGGCCCTGATTGGTGAACCACTGATCCATTCATAGCTCATCTGTTGGCGAGGTTAGGGATACTCACAGTTGTTTTAACATAGGGTTTTCAACTTCCATATTTGACACAAGTGATTACTTAATATTTTATTAATTTTTTCAAACCAATTACAAACATATGAACAACAACTTACAGCTGTACACAGACAACGACTACATCTCTTCTGCCCAAACCCACATGCTCACACCCTCATCTCTAGTGCCTGCATTATTGCTTGCCATATAACCTTACATTTTACGAATTCGTTTCTCTTGGTTGCCCATGCCATTTCAACAATAAATCATTCGATTTTTCCACTTTGTTAATGATGGCAGGTTGACTGATTCCCAGGTTTCTAGTATAAGTTTTTTCAAGATGAGTGATGAGAAGAGAATCATCCAGCCCATTTGGGTATCTCACTAAACCCCCATATGAATTACACTCCCAGAAAGCATGAATTATTGAGTCATTGTTCATTTTACACTTAAGACATGACTGCCTTTGTGCTGTAGAATGTGAATTTCATCATGTCTTTTATAATAAATTCTATACATTAGTTCATACTGGGTTAAGTGTACATTTTCGTTAACTGTAATTTCGTTAGTTATGTTCCAACATTCCCTCCATCTTGTGCCAATATCAGTTCTTTTAAGTCTTTTTTTTTATAAAAATGTCAGTTGGATAGGCTCTCTGCAAGGTTTTGTATATCTTCCCTATCATATGAACATCATTTTCTGACTCAAATAAGATACGCTCAAGGTTGCTCTGATGTCCAAAAGACATCAAATCAAAATGTTGTGATATTAAACTTTTAAATTGCATGTATTTGAAAATATCTACATTGGTCAGTCCAAAATTACTTTTTAATTCTGTCATGGAAATAAATGTATTTCCTGTTGCCAAGTCATCCACGGTTTCTATGGATTCTATTGATCGTGAATTCTGAAAAGCTATCCAAAGATTGTTCCATAGGGTTGTGCTTTTAGGGAGTGATATTAGTTATTGTAGAATACATTTAATTTCCTTCCATATTGTTATAATGTTCTTAACTATGAAGCTGTTAATATTCTTAGCTTTATCCTTTGAAAATAGACACGTGAAAAGTTTCCGGGGATGAGCATGCAAATCTTCAATATTTAACCATTGTTCCTCTTTAGGGCATTTAACTATAGTATACTGTATATGTTGCAAGTAAAAGCCTTGGGTGGCGAGTTTGTACAAGTCTGGAAGATGTCCAACTTTCCTTTTTATTCTATGAATGCTTTTCTAAAGAACGTCTTCGGTGGGGTAATTGGTATTACAGAAAATACAACGTTTTTGGGAGCCATGCCTGAAGAGGTTTATTCTACCTGTATGATGGATTTATGGGAAGATTGTTCCATTTAATTTGATCTGCTTTCATATTGTGACTAAAGTTATCTTTATATATTTGTTGCCACTTGATAAGCAACCTAGGTATTTAGATTTTTTTTGTGGTCCAGAGTTATTCTTTTTTTTCTTCCTATTTCTATTATTATAAAAAATTTCAACGTTTAATTTTATATCCTGAGAATTTAGAGTATTGTGAAAAGTTTTTAGCAAGGAACGCCAATATGTTTTATTTCTGTTTACCAATACCTGTACGTTGGTCCTGTCAAGTTCTGCAAGCAG